GTAGTAGGGCCAGGAGCCCCTAGTAGCTTCTTGTTACTACTAGTAAGGCACCTGTTACTACTAGCGTGGCACTTGTTCCTAGTAGCTTCTTGCTCCTGGTAGTAGGGCCAGGAGCCCCTAGTAGCGTCCTTTTGCCCGGCGGCTTCGCCAAATAGATCGTGAACTCATCCACAGCTCGTCGGCCGTCGCTGAGCTCCGTCACCGCGCCGGACCACTTCCGCTTCGGCATGACATTGGGGCTCAGGCTCTACAGTTGGAGGGGGTGTTCCATGGGCTAGGCCAGGTGCTCTGCATGTGAACTCAGGGTGCAACATCAAGTAGGAACTACTTCATGTTCTTCATGTTGTTCATTCTTCATGTTGGGTGTTCATACTCATTGCAAAGATTTGCAGGATTGTCATGTTTGTACTCCGAGTGCCTTGTTGTCGGCAACACGTCCCGACTACGCCTGGACTGTCGCGACAGACCGTGCGACTCTCCAACAAACAAAACAGAAGTCCCTCAGTTCTTGTGCCTCTGTTGTCTGCTCATTCCTCAAAGCTGTCTCTATAGCTGCAGAGGAGACGAACTCACTCAGACATTTCATCACTGTGGATCATGTTTTTGTTTTCTTTCATGTTGTTTCTATTCAGCCGCCTTAGTGCTCTCTCGTTGAAATGCTTGCAACGATCCAAGCTCCAGACTTTCCGACCGCCCAGAAGTCATAGGACCTGAGACTGAAATCTGTCACAGTGAGTCTTTAAAGGCTGTCACAGTCAAGAAGCTAGTAGAAACAAGTGCATCGCTACTAGGAACAAGTGCCTTACTAGTAGTAACAAGAAGCTAGTAGAAATCAAGCCTTAGTGACCGCGGTGCTCTAAGCCCCCGGGCCCAGTGCTGGGCCCCCCAGTTCGGTTCGTGACAACTGGGGCCACACAGTAAGCCACGTGATGCTTGAAGTGCCATGCCCTGGCGCAAAAGGGTTGAAGAAACACGATCTGAAAGAGAAGTCAAAAGAGTCCTGAAAGGAGACCTTTCAAAGGAGAGAGAGAAAGAGCGAGCCTAGTAGCGATGGCCTCCACACTAGTAGCGATGGCGAAGGCCTGGCCTCCAACCTAATTGCAATGGCCTCCAACCCAATAGAGAGAGAGAGAGCGAGAGGGAGAGAAAGTCAAGTTCAAGACCCGTTGTCCTTGCTCCTAGTAGTACGGCCAGGAGCCCCTAGTAGCGTCCTTGCTCCTAGTAGCGATGCCCTTTGCTCCTAGTAGCAAAATAGAGAGCGAGAGACTTGCTTTTGAAAGCCCATGGAGGTAGTCAAGTCCCTGGACCGTCTCACTCACAATGGCTAGGTCGGGCTGTATGCGGCGTCGGCCAGGGGTGTAGGCTGTTTCGGGTAGGTTTTCCTCATGGCCTTTGGTCATTTGCAGTGGGTTGTTGCAATTTCGAGTCCACCTACAGAGAGGAACTCCAAAACTTCAAAAACGATTACATATATACATTGCTTTCCAAGATTTCCAAGCTTCTTTGCAGCCCCAGGACTTGATTCGGTGGACGCTCTTCTTCTCAACACTTCTGCTGTACATTCGCTCACTTTTTTGCCTCATCTCATCAAGGTAATTGCTCTTGACAAACTCCACGATGCCCGCCTAAAGGAACACCAGCTGCGCTCAGAATCCGGATCCAGTGTAAGTTGACATCCTTGCTCCGTTCGTAGCGATGCCCTTTGCCCCTAGTAGCTTCTTGCTCCTAGTAGTACGGCCAGGAGCCCCTAGTAGCGTCCTTGCTCCTAATATGAGATCATACAGTTCACTGTAGCATGTCAAGAGACCGAGGCTCCAACGTCCATCATGGAATCGCCCCTCTCGGTGGCCACATCCACCCCGGAGATTGTCTGCATCGTGGCGATAGGATCTTGTTTGTCAGGCGAGTGACCACAAGTAGTGGGAACGGGAGAGTGAAAGAGCAACAAATGCATTTCTTTGAATCTTACCTTCAATGCTTTTAGTTCTGCTTTGCCATGTGGTATGTAGCATGAATGCAGTTGGCTTCGGATCCCTTCCAAAGCGTGGGACAAGCATGGATTGACAGTGACATACACTGTGTCTCCTTGAGATCTCCGACTCGGTAGTAGTGCTGGGTCAAGCCTAACAGCATAGCGCGGGACGCTGGAAGGCTGAGACTGATTGCTTTTGAATGAATAAGTGATCATCCGTGTCCATCAGGTGTCCACATGGAAAATGGTTCGTCAAAGGCTTTGGTGGAAGCTTCGACAAAAACTCATTGAACTCTGGAAATTGGGACGTGGGTCTGGTGCATGTAGCGACGCATCTGAAGTGATGTGAGGTCTCATGTGACAAAGGAGAACATAATAGAAGAATCCTTACGTCTTTCAGCCTTGCGCATTCAACTCACTTCCACATCAAAAGAACAGAAATGAGTAATTATGACATGTTTAAAAAGTAAAAACGATCAAGCGCAAATGATAAAGGCTGGGTGCCCCGCCACGGAAGATGCGATCCCCACACAAAGGGCCAGCAAGCTCAGAGGCGACGAGGTGACGAGGCGACTTTGAAGAGTTGGGAGGTTTTGAGACTTGAAAGTAGCGTCCTAGTAGTAACAAGTGCATCGCTAGTAGTAACAAGTGCCTTACTAGTAGTAACAAGAAGCTAGTAGAAACAATAAGCTAATAGCGATGCCCTTGGTTCCTAGTAGCTTCTTGCTCCCAGTAGTAAGGGCAGGAGCCCCTAGTAGCGTCCTTACTCCTAAGAGCGATGGCCTCCAAGCTGTTTCATAGCGTTGGCTGCAGGTTTGAATTTTGAGACTTGAAGTTGTTGAGACTTCTCGAAGGTGTGGAGTCGGAGTTTAGGGGAAACTCTGCATCAAGGAAAAGACAAACAGAAAAGAACAGAAGCTAGAAGCTAGTACTAACAAAGGGCATTTCTCCTAGGAGCAAGGACGCTACTGGGATTACTTCGTTGAAATAGAGACAAACATCCGCCTGTGTACCAGCTTTATGCGAAGCACAGGAAGATATGTGCAACAAAGAGTTCGAGGAGCGCGCATCACTCTCACACAGGTTTTTGGACCCAAACAAAATAAGGCTGAAGGACATGCTGTCTTGGACCGAGTCTTGGACTTAAATTCTACCCCACACTCTTTGTGCAAGACTTGCTTTGTACAAGAATGCATGCTTTTAAGATAACCCAGCACCCCGTTCAGAATCCATTCAGAATCCGATTGATGCTGTGTCTCTGAGGCCACGGACAACAGCCACTCCCAAGGCGAAGCAGAGATAGGTGAACCTACGAGTCACAAAAGCCACTCCGAGCCGTCAAAAGAGCCGCAGTCACGCTCGAGGATATTTGCTCTAAATCGGGCGGGTCTCTGATTCATAGATCTGATGTCCTTTCACTACCCTATATCTCTGTTCCTTGATTCAGAAGTTGTTCGGCTCAAATGTCTTTCGTCACCCGATAACCAATACGCGACGATTGCAATCTCACAAATGATCATGCACAACCAATTACATGCGTATGAATACCGATTGCCACCGGTCAAAACGTAAGAATGTGGTATCTTACTTCCTGCTACCCCCATATTAGGAGCAAGGACGCTACTAGGGGCTCCTGGCCTTACTACTCGGAACAAGAAGCGACTAGGGGCTCCTGGCATCGCTACTGGGCGCAAGGACGCTACTAGTAACAAAGGGCATCGCTACTAGGAACAGTCTGTTGCTTCGGCGTTTTGGTGCGGCACCAGGTGGGCTCAGTGATCCGATAGCGCGCATAGATGGCAGCCAGAAGACCTGGTGAACGGATGTGAACGGCCCAGATCCGCAATGGACTCCAACCTACTTTTAATGGCCTCCAACCTACTAGCAATGGCCACCAACCTACTTGTAATGGCCTCCAACCTACTAGCAATGGCCACCAACCT